GTAAATAAAGTGTGGACATCAGAAAAATCACAATTAAGTGTTGAGACTTTGAAAGCCATTTTATGTGTGAAATATAATTTAACAAATTCTTGTGAAAATTTTCATGACCTTTTAAACAACGACAGCAATCTACTAAAAAAAATTCACTCAAATGAGAAATATGCTAAAGAATAAAATAATACTATACACAATTTTTTAATGTATTATATTTGTAAATTGTACTTATGTTGAAATTTTAAAAAATATATTACAATACTATTTTTGCATTCTATGAAAATGTTTGTTGCTCCATCTAGACCACATTTTTAATTAAGAAACACTACCACCACCCCTCCCGGTCAATGGTGTCCCACTTTACCAATGTTAAAATCTGGTCACCTTAACTTAAGCCCAAGAGTTTGAAGTTGCTGTGAGCTGTGATATCACAGTGCCCTATGGAGGGTGACATAGTGAGACTCTCAAAAAAAAAAAAGAGAAAGACAAAAGTCTCCACTCTCAGAGAGCTTACATGATGATATGAATTATAGACTAATCTATTAATTCAATGTGACTGTGATCAAAATCTCAACAAATTTTTTTTTCTTTTTTTGAGGCAGAGTCTCACTTTGTCACCCCTGTAGACTGCCATAGCATCATAGCTCACAGCAACCTCAGACTCCTAGGCTCAAGCCATCCTCTTGCCTCAGCTTCCCACGTAGCTGGCTATTTTTAGAGGCAGAGTCTCACTCTGGCTCAGGCTGGTCTCTAACTACTGAGCTCAGGTGATCCTCCTGCATTGGCCTCCCAGAGTGCTGGGATTATAGGCATGAGCCACCACACCAGGCCCCTCAAGAAGATTTTTTTTAACTAGACAAACTGATTCCACAATCCATAGAGAAAATAAATGTCTAAACATACCCAAGCAAGTTCTGGAAAAAAGAATGAACATGGAAGAACATGAACTACCAAATAGCAAGGCTTGCCCCAATTAAGCAGAAACAGACAAGATTAACAGAATGTAATTTAGAAACCCAAAACAGACCCAAGTAGGAATGTCAAGTTAGTATACAAAAAAAGTAGCACTATAAAACATTAGGAAAGGTTGTACTATTCTATTAATATCAGAACTAGCTGTCAATATGAAGAAAAAAAATAGATTCTCACTTGAAACATACACAAAAGTAAATTATATTTAGTTTGTTTTGTTTTGTTTCCGAATTTTCTTGTTTGTTTTTGAGAGACTTTCACTCTGTCATCATGGGAAGAGTACCATGAGATCATAGTTCACAGCAACCTTAAACTCTTGGGCTCAAGAAATCTTCTTGCTTTAGTCTCCCAAGGAACTGAACTACAGGCACCCACAACTATACCCAGCTATTTTTTCTATTCTTAGTCTAGATGGGGGTCTCGATCTTGTTCAGGCTGGTCTCAAACTCCTGAGTTCAAGCAATCACCCACTTCAGCCTTCCAGAGTGTAAGGATAACAGGGAAGAGCTACCACACCCAGCCTCCCAAAAATAAATTGTACATGGATTAAAAACCTAAAACATGGCTAGACGCCTGTGG